AACAAGAGGATAACATAAAAAAAAAGAAACCAAGAGATCATGACATACCAAGATCCTCTAACACTGTATGAGATCACTAGTTGGAACTGCAGCATATGAAGAAACCAAATACAGATGACACCAATCCTGGTTGGAGCAGCAGAATATGTGCTACTCTAATTTAGCGAGTTGAGTTTCCTGTAGTCTCTCATGCTTGTGTTTATCTTATTTCATTCAAACTTTCTCAGCTTCAAGTCTTCAACCATCCAAATTGGTTACTAAATGTCCAATGTGCATGTTGAACAATTTTAGGTAAACTTGGATGATAGCAGCATTCAAAGACGATGATTAAGTAAACTTGGATGATTACAACAGGGAAAGAAACATGCTCTCAACCAAAGGATGAACAAGTTTCACAAGCTAAGACACTGATACTGCTCAAGAACAGAGATTTGAGACACATACACCTGTTTAATATCCTGCAGTTTGGGAACCACAAGCGTCATTGCAATTCCTTCCATAGGTGAGTACAGCGAACAAACCAAACCCAACCCAATAATAGAAGACAAGCACCGGTGCAAGGGAGATAAATCTTCTGACAATTGCTCAGCACTAGAACCCTCTTTTAAAATACTGTGATCCACAATACCCAACAAAGAAGAAGAATATGCTTTGCTTACGCACTCTCTCAAACTTGATTCTCGACCAAATATTGTGTCAGTTGGGTTTTTTCTAGTGATCATTTCAAACAAAAGGATTCCAACGCTGTACACATCGCCCATTCTTGAGACTGTTGCCATAGAGCCATATTTTGTTACAAATATTATTTTCAATTACTCAGTTAAGCCTATAACATGTGAGAAACCATAGCAAACATACTGTAAAGAACTTATAATTTAGTCTATGGTGCCTGCCGTGCTGGCCAATACTAATGACTTATCACCAAGCAGCAATTTTGAGATGCCAAAGAAGATGTGCTGTCATTTCTTCATCCAACAAAACATTGCTTGGCTTCAGATCACAATGGAGCACATAATGAGGATGGTGATGGCGGAGATACTCGACTGCAGATGATACATCCACCATTATGCTTAATCTTTGATGAAGACTGAGATAGCAGGTATCAGAATACAACCGTTCATCAAGGTTCTCTTTGGGCATGAAACTGGAGGAGAGCTTTGAAGTATGGTTTGGAACATGTTGCCATTATTTTGATTAGATTCCTATGCCGGACTTTGCTCAAAGATTGATATTTCGATCCAAAAGAGTTTGGAGTTCCCTCAACTTCCAAGTTAAGAACTTTCACTGCTACAACCAATCCACCATCAAGACATCCTCTTTAAGTGAATCAAGCTTCCCTTTGCTAATAGATTGAATTGATTGTAATTGTCGGTTGCATGAACAAGGTCATGCTATGAAACCATTCTGTGAGTATCTAAAGCTGGAAACTCATCGTGACCTATGTCTGTCACTGTCCTCCTGCGAAAGAACATGGGCACAAAGGACAGGCTAACCAGGACAATCACAACAGAAGCAACAATTGGGAGGATATATTTGAGCAGGAGCAGCTTTTTCATTGAATTTGAAGTTACACCATTTGAATCGCAAGCTGGCCAAGAGCACTAGATATGTCACCTCACCTGACAACTTACTCACTGATTGATTGAAAATGTCGAGGGCCTTCTAGTTACCCAATTGGGGACGAAGTAATCCATGAAGGCTATTTTGCGAAGATTCAGTTCAATTAGATTTTTTTAGGTTCAACAACCTCATGGGAATGTTGATGATAAGTGGTTGGAAGACAAGAGACAAGTGTTGCAGCAGGCTGATGTTACCTATAGAATCCGGTGTAGGTCCAATGACTTTGTTTGTATCAAAGAACAGTGCACCTAAGCCTTTAACTGAACTAACTTTGATGGTCGTGGTCCACCGATTTTATTACTACCCTGGTACATAAGCTGAAGCTTCTCTAGCTTAGCAATATCATGTGGTATCGTCCAACTAGCTTGTTCGTGCTAAGATCAAGAAGAAGGCTACTCAAGTTGCCTAAAGTTGTAGGAATTTCTCCCTCTATGTTGTTTAGAGCTGCAGAAAAATAATAAAGATCAACAGAAAGATTTTTGATAGAATTTGAAAGCGCGCCTTCAAACTTATTTCGTGAAGTGTCAAGAAACACAAGATCCCTACAATTGGAAAGAGATGTGATGAAGTCGTGTCCTCCAATGAATTGGTTGGCATTGATCAATAATCTAGCAAGTGCACATAGTGTACAGTTGATAGGAAATATGGTGATAAAAAAGTGATTTATCAAGAAACCGCTCTCTTACCCATTTCATCGAACACCTCAAGGGCAAAGACGAACATCTTCCTCTCAGCAGGAAACATTGAGCAACATCAAGAGTCTCAGGGTTTTAGAGAGGTTTAAATTTGGGGATTATGGGGAGATCGCTGAAGGGCTTTCATTGGAGTTGAATGCAGGAGGAGGAGGATTGAAGGGGAGAAGATAGAGATGCAGCATGACAAAGATATCCAGGTATAGTTCTTTCATCTATACCCTTCTTCTCAAATCTCTTAAATCTTTGACAGTCCGAAAATTTTTATCAATCTTTGGGAGCAATATACATTGTAGTAATTTTGTCAACAGTGTGTTCGGATGGGGTATGCGAAGGTAGGGGAAGGAAACTAGACACTTTTTAACTCCATTTGGGAAGGGGAAATTTCTCACAAAAATGTTTTATTTTTCCTCCTCCCTAAATTGGGGTGTAGAGAAGGAAAGACAGGAGGAGAAATAAATTTTTAAAAAATTTCCCATCTTTCTTTTTTTTTCAATTTGGACTGGACCATTTTAAAGTAGGGAATATTTAATACTCTACCAAGAGGACTAAACTAAAGGCTCCACTACTCCTCCAACGTTGACTACAATTACTCGTAGCCATAGCCCCCAAGTCATGGCTTCGAACAAATTAAAGGGGTCGACATCCTCAATTTCTTCAAAATCAAAATCTTCCTCTTCTAAATGCAAGAATCCTCCATCTTCGTAAGTAAATTTTGATGAAAAAGTTATTTGTTTTCTTTTTTCTTCTAGGATTTTTTTAAATTTTTTACAGCTAGAAACGGTTGGTTAAGCTATTCTTAATTTGCACTTAATGATGTCTATATGCATGTTTACTAGTACTACCGACTAATTTGCACTTTTAACTTTCCTAATGTAAAATATATGGCGATTATTGTCATGTCGAGTATTTATTTAGGTATAATGTTAGTGTTTATATGCGTGTTTTTCGGCATGTAATATATCCTTAGCTATTCTCTTGTAGGGCTATGAAAACACAATTGAGAATTCCGTCCAATCTTTGTTATTTTCGATATTTAATTGATAAGCGTATAGTATTGGATGAAAGGCTTATGAAAACCCTTGAGACGACACCTTTTCACAACTTCCTTCGGATACCCACATCCTTGAGCAATGAGCAAATAACAATTGATTGCTTAATTCAAAATTTTAATCCCTATAAATACTCATTTATGATTGGGAATAAAGATTGTGCGTTTGGTATAAAGGATATTCACCGAATTACCGGTTTGCCAAAGGAGTGAATTCCGATAAAAATGAGTGGAACAACGGCTAATACAATCTACACTCAAATTATAAAGAATTATAAGACACTCAAGGAGAAGAAGGGTGGTAAGAGTAAAGGCAAGACGAAAGTCGATGAGGAAAAGAAGGCGGTGATTTGGGGGAAACGCGATAGAATGTCTGAGCTGATTGTAGATATGGCTAATAAAAACCCTATAACTTGTGTGAAACTTATTGTAACTTTCATTATTGGCTTCATATTATACCCGCGGACATGTAGGACATGTCCATTGTAGGAGTTTAGATATGCAGAGCAGTTGTCCACTTTGAAGAAATATAATTGGTGTGGTGTGGTGTTTACTTTTCTTTGCAAAGAGATGATCAAGGCAAAGAAGTCTATTAGTATGAGGGGATTAGGGGAGCGTTCATATGTGGGTGGTTTTTCCTTCGTATTATTGGTGAGTTACATGAGAATTATTTTGTATAACTTTTCTTTTTGCTAATGAATATTTTTTTATGCACATGCTAATGTATAGGTTTTTTTTGTAGGTTTGGTTTTATGAAAAAGTGGGGGGATTAGAGTGTACTTCAGATATTGAAGGGCTACCGCCGTACTTTTGTGTTAAGAATACCAGAAAGTGGAGGAGGACTACCATGAACAAATTATCCAGAGATCTGAAGTTTCTTACGGATATTGGCTAAGAGAATACTCCTCTTATTCATAGAGCATTGCAAGAAGTATTTGTACATATCTTTGCTCTAATAGTTCATTATTTTTATGTCCCTTTATTTTTTTAGTGTCTTTATCTGCAACTATAGTATGAGTACTAATACTTGTATATTTTTTGTGTTATATGAATTAAGGAAAGCTGAATTGATTGCATTAATTGCGAAGAAGACATACGTTAAATGAGCTCACTCCTGAATTACGAGAATTAGAAGAGCGTGGTGCTAGAGGCATAAATAAAAACAAGGAGAAAGAGGATAAGGGAAATGCAAATGAAGAGAATAAAAGCAAAGAGGATATGGAAGCTAATGATTATGAGAATGTGGAAGAGAAAGAGGATAATTAAAACTAGTTCGAGGAAAATATTAAAGAAGAAAATGAGGAAGTTGATATTGATGATGACTTTGTGATGAGCTCAAGAGACATGAAAATTTTAGAAGATGCTCGGTGACTTTGTATTTTTCTATTCTCTTTAAATTTTACTTTTTTACTTTTTGTATAATACTTGTGTAACTCTTTGTTAATTATATACATTTCAACTCTATAGAGATATTTCTCAAAAAGAGAAAGGTGGTAATGATAATAAGAGGGAAATATCATCCATCAAACGGGCTGTCAGAAAGGGGAAGAGGAAGGATGAACCCTCTGTTACTTCACCTTATTTGCATCTAGATCAACCCAAAGAAGGCACAAAGAAGAAATGTGTCATCTAGATCTTGGATAGTCCTAAGGGGACTACTAAAAAGAAGTGCATAAATGAAGAAGGCTTCATACTTAAATCTCACAACTATCAGGAAAGGCACTGGTCTATGATTATGAGGACAAATTAATAGACAACTTTCTACAATCGAAAATGACCAGGTAATTGTTAATGACTTATTCTAATAATAAATCTTTAAGTCATAATTTTCTCACTGCCTACTTTTATATAGTGATACATTCATTTGAAAGTGTATCGAAGCAAGTGTATCTCGCTTAGATGCTTATAAACTTTTGAGAAGAGATGACCTTAGTGACGATGTAGGTGTTGAATTGTGTTATGGTTTGGTTTATGTTGTATATATTTAGCTTATATTAAATATTTTATTCATTCTTGGGAAAATTTGTAGGTGGTCAATGCATTTGTTATTCGGCTTTGTTATAAGATTGAGATAACTAATAGTTATGATCGAAATATTCATGTTACGAGACCTTGGCTTGCAGCAAGTATATCCACATTTTTTCATTAGTTGGTGGTATTTATTATTATGCTACCCTACATTGTTTACATTGATGCATCTTTTCAGCAAGCATTTCTGGAAGGAAATCTTGAATTGATGGTAAAACGAATGAAGGAAAATGTTTCTCAGCAGAAGTTCTTAGAGTGTGAAAAAATTTTGATCCCAATTATCAGCTCCGGACATTGGCACATGGTAGAGTTAGTGAGAGTGGAGAAAAAATTCTATCACTACTCCTCAATCAAATCTCCCCTTTATACTACTGATGCTGCAAAATTTAGAAATAAGTTTATAAGTTTCATAGAGAGTAATTGGACGTTGGGTAAATTAGAGCACCATGAACTTGTGTCAATTGTCGCTCCTCAACAAGGATTGTATGTGTTTCATGCATGTCTATTGTAATTCTCATTTTTTTATCAAAGTCATTTTCAATATCGTAATTTTTTTTACTTAAATGCAGAACCTTAGATTGTGAGATCTTTATGATTGAATTCATTAACAGTATTGTCAAAAAGCAATCAATAACAATCTCACAAGCAGAGTGTGCAAAGTACAGAGCAAAGTTTTGTGCAACTCTCTTGTAAACACGCGATTCACCATATTTGTGACGATTGTAAAACCACAGTTCGGACAATGTAATTCACATGTTTTTGGAAATGTAATGATGCAATTTGCTGAAGGACTAGTTCAAGCTTCTCTGTACCTTTTGCATTATCTGCGATTTAGAATGTGTTCAGATTGCATATTGCATTTTGCTTAGTATCCTGATAAACAAAATGCAAATTGGATATGAGAACATGATAGGTTTCTCTTATGGTTGTGGCTTGAAATTTCTATTCCCTTGATTGAATTGTTTATGCTTGCAGATTATATAGATTTTGTCACTCTAATAATTTGGTAAAAATTTTGTAACTATTTATTCATTTTTTGTAACTCTTTAGACTAGTTTTGTACCCAATTATCTCTATTTTATAACTCATAGTTCTGGTAAAAAAACTTTTGTAACTCCTTATTCATTTTTTATAACTCTTTAGTCCAGTTTTGTACCCACTTATTGAAGTTTTATAACTCATAATTCTGGAAAAAAATTGTAACTCCTTATTTATTTTTTGTAACTCTTCAGATCAGTTTGTACCTAGTTATTGAAGTTTTAATAACTCATAGTTATGGAAAAAAATTATAACTCCTTATTCATTTTTTGTAACTCTTTAGTCCAGTTTTGTACCCAGTTATTAAAGTTTTATAACTCATAGTTCTGGAAAAATATTTTCTAACTCCTTATTCATTTTTTGTAACTCGTTAGACCATTTTTGTACCCAGTTATCTCTATTTTATAACTCATAGTTCTGGAAAAAAAATTTTAACTCCTTATTTATTTTTTATATCTCTTTAGTCCAGTTTTGTACTCAGTTATTGAAGTTTTATAACTCATAGGTCTGGAAAAAAAATTTGCAACACCTTATTCATTTTTTATAACTCTTTAGACCAGTTTTGTACTCAGTTATCTCTATTTTACAACTTATAGTTCTGAAAAAAAATTATAACTCCTTATTTATTTTTTGTAACTCTTTAGTCCAAATTTGTACCCACTTATTAAAGTTTTATAACTCATAGTTCTAGAAAAAAATTGTGTAACTCCTTATTCATTTTTTGTAACTCTTTAGACCAGTTTTGTACCTAGTTATTGAAGTTTTAATAACTCATAGTTCTGGAAAAAAATTTGTAACTCCTTATTCATTTTTTGTAACTCTTTAGTCCAGTTTTGTACCTAGTTATTGAAGTTTTATAACTTATAGTTCTAAAAAAAATATTTTATAACTTCTTATTCATTTTTTGTAACTCTTTAGACCATTTTTGTACTTAGTTATCTCTATTTTATAACTCATAGTTCTGGAAAAAAAATTATAACTCCTTATTCATTTTTCGTAAATCTTTAGTCTAGTTTTTTACCCAGTTATTGAAGTTTTATGACTCATAGTTCTAAAAAAAAAATTTGCAACTTCTTATTCATTTTTTATAACTCTTTAGACCAGTTTTGTACCCAGTTATCTCTATTTTACAACTTATAGTCTCTATTTATTTTTTGTAACTCTTTAGTCCAAATTTGTATCTAGTTATTAAAGTTTTATAACTCATAGTTTTGGGGAAAAAATTGTAACTCCTTATTCAATTTTTATAACTCTTTAGACTAGTTTTATGCTCAATTATCTCTATTTTATAACTCATAGCTCTAAAAAAAATTTGTAACTCCTTATTCATTTTTCGTAACTCTTTAGACCAGTTTTGTACCTAGTTATTAAAGTTTTATAACTCATAAAAAAATGTAACTCCTTATTTATTTTTTGTAACTCTTTAGTCCAGTTTTGTACCCAATTATTGAAGTTTTATAACTCATAGTTCAAAAAAAAATATTTTGTAACTCGTTATTCATTTTTTGTAACTCTTTAGACTAGTTTTGTACCCAGTTATCTCTATTTTATAACTCATAGTTCTGGAAAAAAATTATAACTCCTTATTTATTTTTCGTAACTCTTTAGTCCAGTTTTGTACCCAGTTATCTCTATTTTATAGCTCATAGTTCTGGAAAAAAATTATAACTCCTTATTTATTTTTTGTAACTCTTTAGTCCAGTTTTGTATCCAGTTATCTCTATTTTATAGCTCATAGTTCTGGGGAAAAAATTTATAACTCCTTATTCATTTTTTGTAACTTTTTAGTCTAGTTTTGTACCAAGTTATCTATATTTTATAGCTCATAGTTCTGGGAAAAAATTTATAACTCCTTATTCATTTTTTGTAACTCTTTAGTCCACTTTTGTACCCAATTATTAAAGTTTTATAGCTCTCAGTTCTTGAAAAAAAATTAACTCCTTATTCACTTTTTGTACCTCTTAAGGTACATATAACCATACTGTTCAAAAAATACATAATTGCATCCATATATACATAACTTTAGTTCAAATTATCACATTATACCGAAACACATGATTAATATATACAGCCACATTATCACCTTGCAAACAAAAAAGTACACACAGTTCAAAGAACACATAATTGCATCCATACATGCATAACTTTAGTTCAAATTATCACATTATACCGAACCACATGATTAATCCATACAACCACATTATCAACTCGCAAACTTAAGGTACACATGGTTCAAAGAACACATAATTGCATTCATACATACATAACTTTAGTTCATATTATCACATTATTCCAAAGCACATGATTAATTCATACATTATCAACTCGCAAACTTAAGGTACACACGGTTCAAAGAACACATAATTGCATCCATACATACATAACTTTAGTTCAAATTATCACATATTCTGAAACACATGATTAGTTTTGTAACCTAATGAAATACGCTTTGCAAACTACTTTGTTTTGACCCTCCATTAACTTTCTCGACCTCCACCTGCAACATTTTTTTATCTACAAAAAAAATTACAACTTTATCATGACAAACACATCGAAATGAAAAAAACATCAAATTAAGATTAAACATAATACCTTAGCTAAAGGACAACTCGTTATATAATGTCAATTTCCCTTATAAAATCCACAAAATCTTTGCTTTTTTATACTCTTTTCTTGTGATATCTCCATTCCGGACTTAATTCTAGTAGCCTGTGTTGATTGTCCCTTAGTGGCAACGAGCTTATCTGGATCACGAATAGTGATTTGAGTTGCTTCCTCTATAGAGATGGGTATGGATGAAGTAGGCATCTTATTGTTGGTATTGCGCTCATTTCCATTATCGTTAAGTTCCTTCTCTTTCTTGTAATTCTCAACTTCTTCAAAAAATGAGTCTAAAAGACCACTAAACTTATCATGAAGAGTATTTGAAGTTAATGTATCTTTTAGTGCCTTGTTACATCTACTTCCAAGGGCCCAATGTTTAATGATAAAAAGTTAGTTTTCACTATTTGTAATGCAATTTCTAACAACTCTGAAACCAACATGTCTTGCATTAATTGTCCATCTTTGCATAATATATCTTGATGGAATTTTTAATACTTGCTTTTTTACTAAAATGTGCAAGATATGTTTGCATAATATACCTTCCATCTCAAATCTCGCACAAGAGCACTTAATTCTTTTTTCTTTGGATGTATCGAAAACAACATGATGCTTTACTATCTTCTTGCTTTCAGCCTCGCTATCTATATTCCAAACGGCATAAGTAGCACTTGCGCCGTCCTTCGACAACTTTTCATGAAGCATGGAGTAACTATCCTTGAGTTCTTTCTGAAAGATAGTAAACAGATTCTTCGTATAATTCTCCCGAGCTTGTTTTTCAATGGGATGTTCAATTATCAATGTAGGAACTGAGTTTGTGGACTTAAAATCTTGCTCAAGTTCAGCGGCTCGGCGAGCTCTGACAGCATTATCATACTGCTTAACAAAATCATGTAACTCGGTATTTACATTCACAAAATGATCAAAAAAAGCATTAATTCCCTCACTCCGCTGAGTAGATGTCATTCCTGCAGTAAAAGTGTCTTTAAGATACACTGGAGCCCAATGATCTCGATGATTGTATAAATTTACTAACCAACTCCTTTTATCTGCACCATATTTGTCCCTCATTTCTTCCCAACGCTTTTCAAATTTTTCTTCCGGTTTGCATAATATACCTTCCATCTCAAATCTCGCACAAGAGCACTTAATTCTTTTTTCTTTGGATGCATTGAAGACAACATGATGTTTTACTATCTTCTTGCTTTCACTCTCCCTATCTATATTCCAAACGGCTTAAGTAGCACTTGCGCTATCCTTCGACAAGCTTTCATGAAGCATGGAGTAACTATCCTTGCGTTCTTTCTGAAAGATAGTAAACATATTCTTTGTATAATTTTCCCTAGCTTATTTTTCAATTGGATGTTCAATTATCAATGTAGGAATTGAGTTTGTGAACTTAAATCTTGCTCAAGTTCAGCGGCTCGTCGAGCTCTGATGATATTATCATATTGCTTAACAAAATCATGTAACTCGGTATTGGCATTCAAAAAATGATTAAAAAAATATTAATTCCCTCACTCCGCTGAGTAAAAGCATCTTTAAGATACACATGAGCCCAATGATCTCGATGATTGTATAAATTTACTAACCAACTCCTTTTATTTGTACCATATTTGTCCCTCATTTCTTCGCAAAGCTTTTTAAATATTTCTTTTGTTTTACTCCAATATCATTTGTTATACTTTATAAAAACTTCCTCACTATAATCATTATGCATTGATTGAAGATTTTTTATAAGGCATTCCTATGAAGGTGACAAGAACAAAAGCGATGTCGAGTTTGAGGAAAAACTTTGTGAATTACACCACACATAGATTTATCTTGATCAATGATGATTGCTAATGATGCTATACCCGACATACATTTTAGCCATTGACTAAATAGTCATATAAAGGTCTCCTCCGTTTCGTCGGCCAATAGTGCACACCCAAATAGAGTAGATTGTCAATGATGGTTAACGCATGTAAATGGTGCAAACGACAATTTTAAATTGTTTATTCTATATGTAACATCAAAACAAACATCTCCAAATTGCAAGTAAGAAGTCTTCGCCCTACCATCCATCCAAAAAACACATCTCATCGTCCCATCATTTTCTAAATCTAGTGCAAAGTAAAATTGTGGATCAGATATCTTTTTCTCTTGAAATTGACGAACTATGTTCACTCACTCATGGCCGACATTGTTTCTTCGTTTAATTCTAAGATGATCTTGGAATTCTTGTTGAGTGAGAGAGCCTTGTTCATTTTCACAAGCAACGTCTACAACCTTACAAATGGTAGAAGGCCGTAAACCTTGGTCATCAAGAGTATTTATCAACTTTTTTGTCGATTGAGATCGATGAAGTGTCTGATGTAAGTAGTGTTTCTTTACCCGATTTGGGGTGGTTAATGGATGACCATTATGATTAATGTTAAAATTTCGGACCACCCATTTTCAAGTGCTTCTAACAACTCCAATAACCATCCTTGCGTTGCATCCACATCTTGTATCGGATTTTTGAATTACATTCCGACGATATTCTCTTTTATCTTTTAAAAATTTAAAGCATTCTTTGTCACATACAAAGGTTCTAGATATAATTGCATATTTCTTTCTCGACCAAGATGTATGACTCTTGCGAATAACAAATCCCTTAAGTCTGGCATATGCATCATAGAAATTATAATCTTCCTCATGTGTAGAGAACTTCATTTCGATATATGGATCAACAACATAATTACCTTCACCATTTTCAACACCAATAGTCTCATCAACATTCTCCTCATGCTCGGATGCCTATAAAAATAGAGAAACAAAACTTATGAAAAAAAGACTCAATTCATGCTTAAAGAAAACTATTTTCGTATATGTCATTAGTTAGTAGGACACTAAAACAATAAGATATTATCACCTGAGAGAAAAAACTTGTCGTAGATAGTAAATCATGGTCCTCGCCTTCAAGGTTAAGGGCTATAAGTTTATTTTCATCTTCATCCATTGTTGTATCACATGAGAGAATTGTTGGAGTATCCATACAAGCTATCAAATTATCACATATAAGAAGTTTAAAATCTTTAAAAAATCGTTATCAAGTTGAACTTTTAATTTCACTAAACAATTTCATTATATAAGCTCAAAAATTAAAATCAACCCCAATGAATAATAACTCAAATTGTACCAAATTCAAGATATAAGTTCGACTCTCAAATGAAATAAAATTATGATAGTTCAAACCAAATTTAAAGTTCATATCCGATTTAACAAGAAACCTATCCCAAAATCTAAACTCAAATATAATCCCCACTATTATTCCTTTCTTCAAAAAGTCATATTCATAATTCATATCCCAAAATCAATAAGAGTTACAAAAATAAAAATTCCCTAACTAAACTTACATAGCAAAATTATATGAATATCTAGGACTTAAAAAATTATATGGACTAACTTGGTTAAGCTGAAGGTCGTCGATCTTGAAGGAGGAGATGACGTCGAGGGATCAAGAGGCGATGTGGTCGAGGGGAGCTCGAGGCTGTCACGTGGGCGAGGAGGGAACTCGAGGAAGAGGGCAGGCGGGGAGAGGAGTGGCGGCGAAGTGGGAACTCGAGGGAGCGGCAGCGAGGGCAGACGAAGGCTGAAATATAGGAGCGACGGTGAAAAGGAACTTGAGAAGAGGCGGGCGACGAGGGCGAGGCGGGCAACGACTCCTCGACGTGGGCGATGGCTGAACTCAAGGGAGCAGCGACGGCGGCGTGGTCCGCAGGCGAAGGCTGAGCTTGAGGGAGCGGCGGCGACGAAGTGAGAACTCAAGGCCGCGGCGACGACCGCGGGCGAGGCGGGCGGCGAGGTCGGCGCGGAGGTGAGGATAGAGGGGGCTGAGATCTGGTCTGAAATGGGAAGAGAAGGGGTAGAGATTTTAAAGGATGAGTTTTGAATGAAGGGCTGAGATCTTTGTTGAATGGACGGCTGGGATTGTGCATACGGGTGTGCACGGGAGTACTAGTGGTTAATAAGCAAAACTTTTATGATATGTTTGGGAGTTCAATTAGGGAAAAATTCTCCTTCCTTCCATTCTCCTTCGTTACCCTAAATTTAGGGGGTAACATTTTAGCACAAATTTTCCTTTTATTCCCCTCTTCTATTTTTCTAAATCCAACTTCCAAACAATGTTAAAATTACATTTCTCGTACTCTCTCAACTCCATCCAAATATGCCATTAGTTCTACGAACGCGCTCCACGTGAGGGTTTTTTTATTATGTTTCGAATCTGATGCGCAACAGAAATATTGTTCCAAAAACGTTTTTTTATAGAAAATTTCCGAATACCGATATAAAAATTCGATCTGCAAAATCTCTTGCAACTCACTCTCTCTCGCAGTGATTCTAGGGTTTTGGACTTCTTCTCAAATCTCTCTCGTCTCGATCAAATCCGCTGTAATTTTTGATCGACTCGGTACTTGAATTTGGCAATGGAAGTGTGAGTCGTCTGTTTTCAGCTAAAGTTTGAATTCTCAATTTCTTTCCCCACCTTTTAAGGGATTTGATTTCAAGTAGCTTTTTGCAGCGTCGCTTCAGCTCCGGGCAAAGTTTTGATCACCGGCGGTTACCTGGTTCTAGACAGGCCCAATGCTGGGCTGGTTCTGAGCACCACTGCTCGATTCTACGCGATAGTGAAGCCTCTTCATGACGAGATCAAACCCGAGAGCTGGGCTTGGGTGAGCCTTACTTAAATTATCCTTTTTTTTTTGTGTGTGCTCTCCTCATTTTGATGATTTCCAGTAAATTCACATTTTAGTTAAGCGTACACTGTAACAACATGAATGATTTAGGTGATATCCTTCTTATAAAATTTTGTTGACAAAAAGTCATTAGGAGATGCTTTACTAGATAATTTAGATTGTCAGTTTTCTGTTTTATGCTCTTTTGTGCTTTTTCATGGACAATTATGATTCTGCTACAAGATTTAATCACTTTTGAAGTATAACTCTCGGATATATCCCCAATGTGGCCGATATATCAGCTGCTGTATTGGCTGATGTGTTATTTTATGTGGCTAGCTGCAGAACAATGTCACTTTTGGCAATTTTTGGGCATATATCGAGGACTTTCCCGATATGTCAATTGACATGTTGGCCTTGAAAAAATCGTCCAAATTGTTGCAATGTCGGTTTAGTCTTTACTTTGTTTTAAAAGATTGGTTAGTGATCCTAAAGATATAATTTACATTTTTAGATGCTTAGAATTCATTAAGGATGTTTAGATTACATTTTAGGATATTATATTATCCTATAGGTCACTCCGATTTTACGACATATCTGATATGGATTTTGTTCCTTCGATACTTCCCGGGTATCCTGTATTTAAAACCTTGTTTGTCAACAAGCAAAATGGTATCTGAAACTAGAAATGGGATAAATATTAAAGAGTAGAATTGGACTGTAGAATGATGGATCAAGCAAAATTTGTGCATAAGAGTGTAGAAAATATGTATAACATATGATTCGTAATTTTACTAGAGATCTCAAAGAAATTGTTCATTTCTTCATGCACCAATGAAGAATAAAACCATGCATAGAAACTAGTACGACCAGTTAAGAGGCAATGAACCTTATTAAGTATGTAGAACTCAATTTCTTACTTCTGTTAGATGGTATACTACTCAACGTACTGTGATATCTGCATCTGCATCAGCATCAGGAAAGGATCTCGGGATTATGATAAGTTGTATCGGAAAAGGATCAAGGAAATATGATAAACGACTAGTGATAGAAACTATCATGCTTAAATAATAATGTAATTTGTTTGGTTTGTTTGCAGTCATGGACTGATGTGCGAGTTACATCTCCCCAGCTTTCCCGGGAAGCTACGTACAAGCTTTCTCTTAAGAACTCAGCCCTTAAATGTACCTCCTCGAGGCAAGTTTGCTTGTAGTATGTATTTTTTTCTTCTGGTTTTATGTTCCTTTTTTTCTCAGTCCAGATAGCATACATATGCTTGTGTTTCTGTAGGAGCACAAAATGCAATTACAAATCAATTTGATCTGAGCTTGGTGTTTATGATGCAGGATTATATAGGAGTTGCATCACATTTATAGTTTCGAGTTATTAGTTGAAGTTTAGGTTCTAATATTTCCTTGTGTTGGCTACTAAAGATGATTTTCACTTCTGGTATTTCGTTGCGTTATTTTTTCAATGTTGTCCCATCGGCTAGCTTGGAAAGAATTCTTTAAGAATATCAGGGATGGTTCCTGAGAGTTCTAAAGTACATATAGATTATTGAAACATTACTAAAACATGTTAGCTGTATTATCTTTTCATAAATGGAAAGATTCATGTTCATATTTGATTGGATTGAATTATGGATCTACAATTTCTTCCAATAGGTTGAAGTCTCAAAATTCAGATACTAATCTATATTAAAAGACTTGGTCAGCATATGACTGAACAGAACATCAAGGTGACAGGATTCAAACCTATGGCCCTCTGTACCCAAAACAGATGCGCTGACCAGACTGCGCTACACCCGGAACATATAGATCCACCCGATCGATAAACACTCGAACTAAACTCGAATTTCTTGTTTCTTTTTGTGCAGATACTCTGCCTCATATTATGGAACAATTTAGATCCCTTGATCCTTGATTTTACATATATTATGAAACCTATCCCATGCCATTCATTGATCTGTCTGGCACACGTGCACAAGTGTATTTATGTGTAATTGGCTATCTAAACCCTTGACTACCTATGTACTTCACATGCATATATCATGATGGTTAAGTGTTAACTCATGACTTTGACTCCCTATATCATATATATGGAAAAATCCAAGCGAGGCCTTCTGCTCATAATTATGCTTGTATGTAAGAAGACTTCAACCATCCTTTTTTATTTTGCATATATAATGATATCATATGTACCATAAGAAGATGTTAACTAATCAAATCTTGACTTTTATAGTATATAAACTTCATCAGAAGAGGCATAACACTAGCAAAAGATGTTTACTTTGATGAATTGAATAACCATCAACAATCCTATAAATAGGTCAACATTTACCTAACGTTTGGACTTTGTCTCTCCCCTAATCCCCAACATTTGTGAAGAAACTTATTTATTTGTATTCCCTTAGTTTTCAAATGTTATTCTCTTTACTCTTTGGTGTCTCCCTGTCCCCCCCCCTCTCAACAATTCCCTCTCTGTGATATTCATTTATATGTTTGAATTTTATTAAAACCTATTCTTTCTGCCTTTTTCTTCCTTTCTGTTTCCTCGAGGATGAAATCTATTTCCAAATAAAATCATCTTATATCTTACTCTACATGCTTTGCATTTTTAGGAGAATTCATGATTACTCCTAGGTTTATCTATCTGACAATTGGCACGGCTAGGCTTTATGAATTATGCTGTGGCCTGCTCTTGCTTATATTTGCCATTGCTACGAATTGGCATTATCCCGTAAGCACAGCTGTCAGGTTTGCAGCCCATGAAAAGTTGGCTAATTTTTTTATGGGGTCCTAGCCCCCGGAACATATAGATCCACCCGATCGATAAACACTCGAACTAAACTCGAATTTCTTGTTTCTTTTTGTGCAGATACTCTGCCTCATATTATGGAACAATTTAGATCCCTTGATCCTTGATTTTACATATATTATGAAACCTATCCCATGCCATTCATTGATCTGTCTGGCACACGTGCACAAGTGTATTTATGTGTAATTGGCTATCTAAACCCTTGACTACCTATGTACTTCACATGCATATATCATGATGGTTAAGTGTTAACTCATGACTTTGACTCCCTATATCATATATATGGAAAAATCCAAGCGAGGCCTTCTGCTCATAATTATGCTTGTATGTAAGAAGACTTCAACCATCCTTTTTTATTTTGCATATATAATGATATCATATGTACCATAAGAAGATGTTAACTAATCAAATCTTGACTTTTATAGTATATAAACTTCATCAGAAGAGGCATAACACTAGCAAAAGATGTTTACTTTGATGAATTGAATAACCATCAACAATCCTATAAATAGGTCAACATTTACCTAACGTTTGGACTTTGTCTCTCCCCTAATCCCCAACATTTGTGAAGAAACTTATTTATTTGTATTCCCTTAGTTTTCAAATGTTATTCTCTTTACTCTTTGGTGTCTCCCTGTCCCCCCCCCTCTCAACAATTCCCTCTCTGTGATATTCATTTATATGTTTGAATTTTATTAAAACCTATTCTTTCTGCCTTTTTCTTCCTTTCTGTTTCCTCGAGGATGAAATCTATTTCCAAATAAAATCATCTTATATCTTACTCTACATGCTTTGCATTTTTAGGAGAATTCATGATTACTCCTAGGTTTATCTATCTGACAATTGGCACGGCTAGGCTTTATGAATTATGCTGTGGCCTGCTCTTGCTTATATTTGCCATTGCTACGAATTGGCATTATCCCGTAAGCACAGCTGTCAGGTTTGCAGCCCATGAAAAGTTGGCTAATTTTTTTATGGGGTCCTAGCCTACTTATAATTATAGGTGTCCATGAGACTTGGAAAAGCTTAGATGATAAATGGTGATGGTTATCTCCTAATTTACTTGACTTACATCACAATTTGTTAGATAATTGACTTTATTTCTGCTCCACCTTTTGTGTAACTTTTTATCTCTTGGTGATCTGGTCTGCACTGGTCCCATCTGGAAGGATAAGCTTATATGATATTTTCTAGTCTCCTTATTAATAATGTCTATGGCCTTGTCTTTCTTTATATTGGTTATTTCTTATCTAGAATTTATGTAGACATCCTGCATTCCTTTCTACAGAGATGAAATTAGATATAATATATAATTCCTCTACTCGCCTTTCTAATAAGATTTTGTTACCTTAAGATTTCAGGCAATCAGTAAACCCTTTTGTGGAACAAGCTGTGCAGTATTCTGTTGCAGCTTCGAATGTTGTCTCTTCTAGCGAGGAGGGAAGGAAGGATGCATTACAAAAACTCCTTTTACAGGGTCCATTTAATAATTTATTATTTCTGGTCACAGCATTGATTACTTCTCTAATAATCTGTGAAGTGTTTTCCTTTGTTAGAACCACCACCATTTACTAGTGTTTCACTCAAATTTGTGTGCCAGAATTTTATTTGGCTTAGTCTTGCAGGTCTAGATATTACCATCTTAGGCAGCAATGATTTTTATTCATACCGGAATCAGGTACTGTTTTTACTTCTTGCATTTTCAGCCTATTCATTTTGTTTCAATTATTATATGCATTCTCTGCCAGTCTGCATTTTCTTCCATTGTGGGACTACTTCCAATTTTTTTTGGCAATGATACGGTCAGCATATAAAACAATAACCCTCAACCCTCGCGACAATTTCAAAGTTTTGGTGTACTTGCAGGGTTCTTTAAAATGGTATCAAAGTAACCCAGGTTCAAATCCCAGATGCCACGAATCTAAAGTGGATTTAAAAAAAAATAGATACCACCACATGAGTAGAGGGCGCCCAAGCTGCGGGGGCATGTTAGAATATAAAAAAATAACCCTCAATCCTCAAAACTTTGGAGTGTTGGTGTAGTGGTAGACTGGCAGGGTCCTTTTAAAAGATAACAAACGCTGTTCTGCAGGAGTGTACTTATCTCCTTGCAACAGCATCAGAAAAAGTGTTGACAGCATGAGGAAACAAATATATGTCTCACACACATGGATAAAGTGTTCTTTAGGACATTATGCTTTATTGCTTCTTTAACATTATCAGTATACATCACTCGGAGCATGATTTATTATGAAGAGAAAGAAAAGGAACATGGACTTGTTTATTCAAAAACAACTGATGGAACTACCGAAAGCATGGCTATAAGTTTTGTGAATTTACATTTCAACTTACGCTAGAACTAAAATTTCCAATAGTAACTGCAGCCCATATATATTTCCAGTGTTGATTTGTATGGTTTTAGAATGGAGATAAACTTTTTCTTACTTATAATATATTAATAATATAATATATGAGAACCACATCACTGTACACAATTGCAAAATTGGTTTAGGAGAATGGGAGATAATCAATCAAAATGATAATCCTCTCCCAGGTGCCTTCTTATAAATATACAATCCATATATGATAATTACTTAATAATCTGATTGGTACATGTTAGTGATTGGTTGATTTTACTAATGTTCTATTTTATAAAGATTATCCATGACATGGTTGTGCAAATTGCAAATAGGCTACTGCACTCCTTGCCCCTTCTATTAGTTAAAGGAACAGCTGGGCTATGATGCACGGATACGGATACGGGACACGGATACGACACGGACACGGATACGTGATACGACAAAATCCAAAAAAATAGGATACGGGGATACGACAAGGATTTTAAAAAAATATTATTATATATAGAAAATTTTTTAAAATTCAACTAACAATCTAAAATATGAATCTATCACAAAATAACAAGTTTGTAAACAAAAAGTACCTCAAGATGAAGTGGAAGCTGAGAGATTGAGAGAGAGGATTAGGGTTAGGGTTAGGGTTTTTTCTTATTTTCTTTTGTTTGAGTCAGCTGAGGATTGAATCGAACGGGAGATTTGAGAAATAGGGATGGGTTTTTTAATCGAATGGTTCGGGTTGGATTTTAACAACCAACCCCGCAACCCGAATGAATCCGCCTTCGGCGAATCCGAGCCATGTCCGAGCTCCTTTGACCGTGTCCGAGCCTAATTTGACCGTTGACCCATGTCGGACACGGATTGACCGTGTCGGACATGTGTCGTGCACGTGTCGTAACGAATCCATGTCCGATTCGAGTCGGACACGGATTCGTGGCCTTTGGGGGCGAATCAATGCTTCAGAGCAGCTGGGGATATCTTACAAATTTTTCTGTGGTGCTCCTCTGATGCTTTTTAAATAAAATTACTGTATTCCTTTGTATGTTTCACCTGTAAATCCTCCTCAGCTGCAACCAACACCTTTTTTTTTGTCATAGTGTGTCTACTCTTGGTTTTTATTTTCTCATTCCATTAAGATTATTGTTCATCAGTACTTGAGTTAAGTGCAAATCTTAATTTTAGATTGAGGCATGTGGACTTCCTTTGGCACCGGAATCACTGGCTGCAATTCCACTCTTCTCTTCAATTACATTTAATGTGGAAGAGGCCAACGGGGCTGCTGGGAAATGCAAACCTGATGTTGCTAAGACTGGTCTAGGATCATCAGCAGCAATGACCACATCTGTGGTTGCAGCTCTGCTTCATTACCTTGGAGCTGTTAATCTCCCATTGACAACGAAAAGTATGCCTGAACAGAAGTCTTTGGATTCAGATCTTGATTTGGTACATATCATAGCTCAGAGTGCTCATTGCATAGCTCAAGGGAAAGTTGGCAGTGGTTTTGATGTCAGTGCTGCTGTTTATGGCAGTCAATGCTATGTCCGATTTTCCCCTGCAGTTCTTTCTTCTGCTCAGGTCTTTTATCTATTCTGCATGCACTACAGATATATCTCATATGTGATAAACTTAGTCCACTCCTTGATCCTGTGGTTATCTATATGAGATCTTTATCGGTTTAGTTTATCTGCCAACTGGTGATTACATGTTTCTTAATTTTGTTCTTACTCAGTATGTGTTGTTTGTCTGACCTTTCTGTTTCTTAATTGAAGGTAAAACTTAAAAGAAAATGTTCCAGCCTTTTTCTGCCAATACATCTAATCATCCATACTTACAAACCTACTGAACTAGAGAGAGAACTTATTTCAGTTGTGCTGATCATGGAAATGAGCTGGCATTTTGTATCAGAAATCAGGCAGGCTTGTCCTTTGTGTAGCCATAATATTGAAAATTTCAATGTGGAACTTTATCCAGAACAAACACCTAGGTTTGTTGGTGACATATAACAGTCGCCTTAGTTAACTTCAAGTATGTACAAGCACCTACACCTGATGGCTATAGGCAACCACAGAAAAATAATAAAATCAGGAAACCACTAAGAATTATACTAGTTCATTAGATTTTTTCCCCCCTTTATAAATCACTAATCTTTTTTGCTTTACGGCATTGATTATTTGATCTGCTGGTATGTTTTAATTGTTTACGGGCACAATTCTGGTGGCACAAAGCATATTTATGTTCCATGCTCAGATTTTAGATTTATGCCTATTCTCCAAGTTATATTTAAGTTATAATATACCTATATGGAAGGATATATGTAATCCACTTTTGTCATAATGTTGGTGATTAATGTATGTTGATGAAACTGCAGGTTACAGGAGGAAACAATTTGGCAATCATTGGTGATGTTCTTAAGGAGAAGTGGGACCATGAGAAGTCGAAGTTCTCTTTGCCTCCATCAATGACTCTTGTGAGCATAGCTAACTGTTAAATGTCTCTTAGGGTATGCATACTAACACTTTGGACCTACAAGAAATTTGGTAGGTAGTGCTGGGATGATGTATGGGTCTCACGTGTCAGTTAGGGACCATCACACATGGTGTAATATTTACAGTAGTTTGCAATTTTCATTAGTGATGTTAATACTTTTGTGGATGAATACAATGCTGAGCCCAGTTGCACAGACATGTATGTAATTCATGATCCTCAATGTTATAGATGATGATCAGTAAATCTCCTTTATTCTCTTCCGTTATATTCAAGATCTGGATTCTTGAAGATGCATACCATTTCTCTAGTTTTCAAAGCTTGTCCTTTGTATGGTGTTGGTGATTTTTAAGTTTGCTTCTGAACTAATCCAGAATTGCTGTGGTATGGAAGGGTTTAAGGGAATCACGTCGATTTTCTTCTCTTCTCTAATTCGCGCTCGAAAGAGTACAAACTTGCATTTAATACCGTTATGATTTTGTGACAGCTGCTAGGGGAACCAGGTGCTGGAGGTTCCTCTACTCCATCCATGGTAGGTTCAGTGAAGCAGTGGCAGAAGGCTGATCCTCAGAAATCTCAGGAAACATGGAGAAGATTGGCTGATGCTAATTCAAAGCTTGAGACACAATTCAAAATATTAAACAAATTTGCAGGAGAACGACGTGAGACATACAACCAGATTATAAGCAGTTGCAGTGCTCATGTTCATTCCAAGGTATAAATGTACACTGTTTGATTTTAGTTCTTTGCAGTTCTTTTGAGGATATTCAACATGTTTCCCCTTTGTTAATTATCATTTAAATTATTTCAGTTGAATTTAGAGATAGAAAGTTGCTTTGTTTCATTTTATATAGCATCAGACAGTTGAAATACAACCTTCCCTTTTGATTCGTGATCTTCTTTCTTGAGAGAATAGATACATGAATATACAGAAGGGATGAACTAGTCCAGATAAATATATTTTTTAGGTATGAGATTAGACTGGCGTAACAAATACATAACAAAATACCTATGTTTGGTTCTATGACTTAATGATTTTTGTCCTTGTTCTCTACGTAATTCAAGCGAAAAATACAAATTGTCCTGATCCAAGAATGTCTAAGCAACAAGAAAATGGCTTCTATGTTTGTAGAATGGTAATATCCTTAAATTTCCCCATTCCTGTAGAATGTTATGTTCCTTGTAAATGGGATGAAGAAGGCTTAGGCTCGAATACATTTAGGGAAATTATTAAGAGCAGGTGTCTAACTAGTTAACCCTCTGTGGGAGGAGAATCCACAGTATATACTTGCGCTTTTGCCCTATGCTGTTTGAAACGTCCAATGAAGAAAACATTCTTTATTCGTTTTAAACAAGTAAATGGGTTCTTGATTATCAGTATAGAAAGATGATTTATCAGGTCACAAAAAGTGAAGGATTACCATCTCTAAGATTTTTCTCATCCTTTTTACTACTTTTTGTGAATGGTACATTGAGAAATAAGGCCTCCTCAACCCATATACCTTTTTTTTTTTGCATTTTTGCATTTTATTTTGTGCCAGCTCGGATGGATTTGGTTTGTGATCCATTATTGTACAACTTGACATGTACTTTTTGTGTGTGCACAACCTGTCATGCCTGGGGCCTACGGGCCCGTTGGCGCAGTGTAAACTGTGGGACCCAAGTGTAGCGCATTGTTTGGCTTAATCCATTGCCAAAATTGACTAGTCGATGCTACACTTGAGCCTTTTAGCTTCACTATATACACACCTAATTCTTTGTCTCCATTCCGATGTGGGACTATGTTGGGGCATCACAATGACCGCACCTTACATATGCGACGTCCTCGTCGCGACATGACAATTTGCACATCACAGTATTGCTAGGCGATGTCAGCTTTAGAGGTAGCTCCTGCGGGCTCTAGGGGTGGCTCCCACCGAGCTCAAACAGTGTAGCATTTAGCCCCGCATATCACTTAGCTCTACACTTCTGGTTGGCAACTGCTCCGATACTATTTGTCACTCCCCGGCCCTGTAGGCCCCTTGGCGCGGTGCAAGTTATGGGACCCATCGAGTGTAGCATGTTGTTTGGCTCAATCCACTGCCAAAATCGACTAGCTGATGCTACACTTGAGCCTTTTAGCTTCGCTATATAAACACTTAATCATTTTTCTCGGCATCCGATGTGGGATCATTTGTCTCCACATCTGATGTGGGACTATCTTGGGGCATCACACAACCCATGTGCCCATGTTTTGTGTCAGACTCTGCTGGGTTAATCCTCTATTAGCCTGTTGCTGATGGTGCCTAAGAGCTTATCTATGTTTTGATGTGTTTTAGTTTCTTTTACTTATTCCGTAAAGATGTGAAAAATTATTTTCAAGTAAGAAACTATAGTCCGGCGCCTTGAAGCACCTAGCGCTTTCTAAAATATTGGTCAACAAAGAAGAGAAGGAAATATAAAATGTAATGTTAGAAGCAAATGTAGTCAGCTGGACAGAAACTCTTATGATGAAATGCTTGCTGTTTCAACTTATCTTTGGTTTACTGTTTTAACTGTATTTAGAATTTGAAGACTTCACGGTGATTATGCATTTAGCAAGTTGATCAGTATAATTGATACATTTGTAGTGGATGGAGCAAGTTGCTGATCAACATCAGAAGTCAGTCATAAAAACATTGCTGGAGGCGAGAGATGCTTTCCTTGAGATCAGGTTTCATATGCAACAGATGGGTAATGCTGCAGGGGTTCCAGTAAGTTATTCTTTTCTTGGCCATTCAGGGTTTTTTTTTCCTTCCTGCGGCTGCTTGAGCATAGGCTATAGCGAGTTAAATGTAGCATATCCATCATTTAAAAAAAGTTATTTTTTTCGTAGTGTTGAATTTTATTGGTTGTTTTACATATCTTGTGAACTCAAACCATATCGTTTTGACTTTTACTCCTTGCATATATTTCAGGATTCGTAGAACCGTAGTACTTGAACCAATAATCCATCTTGCTTACTTAGCATGTTATATTACTATTGACTTTGTTCTCGATGATGCAGATAGAACCAGAATCACAAACTCGACTTCTGGATGCCACCATGAGTATGGAAGGAGTTCTGTTAGCTGGAGTTCCCGGAGCAGGCGGCTTTGATGCAGTTTTTGCAATCATTCTTGGAGAATCCACTGATGCTGTAAGCAAAGCATGGAGCTCACGGGGGGTTTTGCCCTTGTTAGTTCGAGAAGATCCTCGCGGCGTGTCACTGGAAACAAGCGACCCCAGAGCCAATGGGCTTACATCGGCCGTTTCTTCTGTGAAATTAAACTAATTCGATATTGTTGTTTTAAAATGTAACTGAGGATGATTTATTGAAACGTGGTTGAGGTGCACAATCACATCGTGATGAGCAGCTTCAAGCTTGGCAGCACAACATGAAGAGTTATTTTCTTTAATCTATTCATGGGCTCAGCTGTATTATATTAACTTATTGTTTGCTTGGATAGGCCTAGTTGGGGTCTCATATTGTAATAATATCCAAACTTTATGATACATGTTCAGTAGGGAGTTTTTTGAATAAATAATTATTGTAAAAGCAAAATGGTTTAGAAATAAGAGAGTTGCGTAGGTGTTCAAATTGTGAGCTTGTTAATGTATTTGTTATTTCAACAGCAAGTGTGACTAAATGTCGCATGTACAAATAGTTAGAGATATGATCTCTAAGTGTAAAGCTTCGTGTGGGACATTGATACTTTCACCTTGCCTGAGGTGGCGGGATCGGCTATGAGCCATCATTACGCATTTTCAGGTTCCTACTGGCCCTTGTTGAATCCCCTCGGCTTGTATTTTTAGAGCTTGAAAGCCAGTGTGAGCTTTTCCCCCCCTATGTCCACTGCATAGCTGAAGCTTCTCTTCACCTGGATTGTGTATTTGTACAGCAACTTGCTGAGCTGTGTCTTGTTTGCATCTTGTTTGTACCCTTCAAACCCAAACTGTAGCTTTTTTGGGTAGAGAACTAGGGCATCTCATATACTTCCCTGGAATCTGATTGAAGATCATCTCCCTAGCTTTTTTGGGTAGAGAACTAGGGCATCTCATATACTTCCCTGGAATCTGATTGAAGATCATCTCCCTTCAAGATCTCGCATTTGAATAAGTGAAGACTAAACTATGACATTAATCCCAGTAAACTCCCTCGTCAGCAAGCAAATCTGCTGTATATGTCATGTTGAAGGTACCCAGATCATTGTATCTGTACTTGCTACTGGCTAGGAACAATCTTAAGTATTAACAAAAACAAATAGGAGAAGACAATGATCTTGGTTTGATTTGTGGGATCGTCACATGAGAACAAACTGTAGGACTTAATATGACAATGGATGATAACAAATAGGCCTGTCCAACCGGCCCGGCAAACAGGGCCCAGGCTGGGCAACCCGTGACCCGGGCCCGAGCGGGCTAGCCCTGTCTGTAACGCCCCGAAACTGTAGCGGAAATTCATAAAATACGGGGTGCGCGATAGCAGCGACCTGTGCATGAGATAAGTCTTATGCACGGTCAAGCCTGGCACTTCATATCACATAGTTTATTTCGAAATATTCACAAACCTGCTGATGATAGAAGTCAGAGCAACTATATATATATATATGATCGGTACTTACAACCCACAAGCTCACCGTTATAAACATTTTTACAAAACAAAACAAAACAAATTGTGCTGAAGATAACATCAAAAAGAAGAGGCTCTCCATATCACGCTTCTCAGCCAAAAGCTCAAACCAAAAGTCGGCTAATAGGAAGCTACGCCGGATCTGAAAAAAATATTTAAAAACAACGGGGTGAGCTAGCGCTCAGTGAGAACATTTCCCACTAGAGTTTCTAGATAACTAACAAAATAGTAATAAGCATAATTCTCAAAAATAACAAATTATAAGTTTTGCATGAGAATTCCAAAGATAGCAAAATACGATCCAAACATCATGATATTGTCTGTTTTCAAGAAAAATGCAACAATTATATTTTCTTTCTTATGGACAACTGAATATACTGTGAAGTTTCTTGAAATCAAACCCTTTTTGAAATAAGGTAAACATTAAGACGGAAAAGAACTAGTAATTTGTACAAATTAGAGAATTATTATTTTCTCAATTTCACAGCCAATTATCAAAATCTTAATTCTCGATGAGTTATTCATGAATGTAAAAGTCACCCCATAGGTCACACTAAGGCTACGAATTATAGCCCAGTAGCAAGGGAATGCGTAACCACATCACATAACAGATAATTCCCGGGAATCGAATGCACCTAATACTACCATAGGTTACTGGCCAAATATAGATGGGCCAGAATAAATTTCGGAAGGGACAATACAGAAGGGCCAATACAGAAGGGCCAAATACAGGTGCATTCACCATATGGCAGGCAGAAACAATCCATAGTGGACTATTTGAGGGTTTGAAAACATCGAGATCACATGTCAAATGAGTAATACTTTGCATATCAGAAGTTACAGATATTTTCAAATGAAGTTGGCAAGGTAAAACTTCTCATTTCTGTTAAAACAGTTTACGGATATTTACTTTTTCTTTTATCAGATGCTAAATCACGGAAAATCTTTGAATCCGTTAAACTGTTGAAATACGTTCCAAATATTTCATCAAAAACTTTCAGATATAACAAAGTCCACAATTATTTGAAAATTGCATGAGAGCCAAATTTATTTTTCATATTTTACATAAAGTTCAAATTGACTTTTCATATATTGTATGAGGCTAACATCGTATTATAGGATAGACCACAATAGACATAGGTCAAATCTTTAATATACATGAAAAGACATATTATTTATTATTTTTTTTCATCACAAGATAAATCAAATATAAAACTCATGCAATTTCATATTATAAAATACTAGTGAGAAATGAACTCACCTCTAGTGGTCACGACTTTCTCAAAATATTAGTCTCCCGAATATCAACCATAACCTATAATGTAAGATATATGACTAATTATTAATTCAGAACAAACATATATTCCCGAATATCAACCATAACCTATAATGTAAGATATATGACTAATTATTAATTCAGAACAAACATATATCAATTCATAATCTAGAGCCTAATAATTTCAAATATAATCAATAATAATTAAATTCTACAGTACATATGAGCTTATTATTAACTTTAGCAATTTAGCAAAATTTTATAACTCTCATATACTAGCTTCTGGACTTCCTAATAATTTATGATAATGAAAGGGGTTATAGGGAATTTTATCAAGTCTAAAAGTTATTGTTTATTCCTCAGGTTGGACTTGTTTGCAACTGAACAAAAGACAGGGGCCTAATGAATTGTTAGACCCTAGAGGGGGGGTGATTAGGGTCTTATGCTAATCCTAATCCGATTAAATGCCAATTAAAACTTATTAATAAGTTATCCTAGCAAGTATGAAATACAACAATGTATATGAGCTAGGATAAGTAATATGAACAATAAGATATATCCTATATGATAAAATATGTAGGCAATGTATGTGCAAGGATATATAAACAACACAATGGTAGATAATCTAAACAAGATAGTGGATGATATAGTAATGAGCAATGCACAATGGCGATATAAGATATGAACATAAATGAAAAAGAACGCCAAAGCACACTCAAACACAATCAAGTGATCACGGAGTTCGGACCTCTGTCCTACGTCTCCGCTCCCCACTCCCGGGGAGAAATCCACTATCAACCGGGTTTTCTACGTTCACCCGAACAACGTTTACACCTCACATTCAACGCTCACCGATCAACGTCACTCCTCACACTCGGTTTCTAGCTCACCGAAAACCTCACTACACACTCGGTTTCTAGCTCACCGAAAACCTCACTACACTCACAATGTAACAAATATAAATTTGTTCTCTACAATAGATGAGAACACAATGAAAGCACAACTCAAAGTTACAAACTCTCACCACCCAACTATACTATGTAATGAAATACTAAAAGCTCAAGTGGGTGTGTGTAACAATGAGATTCAATAAAACTTAACTCAATAAGAACTAGCAATAAAAATTGATATGAAATTCAATAGTAAAAATGCTAGGAAATAGAGTTAAGGAAACTTCTCTATAAACACAAAGAGAGGATGATGAAATGTTGAAGATGAACTCTTCAATAGCTGATTGTAAACTCCTCTTTGTAACAGCAAACCAAAACAAACTTAAACCAAACAAAAACAAGCTTAAACCCTTGTTTAAAACCTTGTTTAAAAACTTCTTTAAAAACTTCTTAGCTTAGTTGAAAAGACATCAGCAATGGGGTATATATACCCACAAGAAATCTCAGCAAAAACCCCAAAAACAAATGACAAAACAGCCCCCAGAGAAACAGCTCAGAAATAGCCGTTAGTAGCCAACGGCTATATTGTCGGTCGACCGAAAATTCCGTCGGTCGACCGATGAGAGCAAAAACACGAAGAAAACGTTCTGGACCATCGTCGGTCGACCGGAAATTCTGTCGGTCGACCGATTTGAGCTCTCGGTCGACCGGACCGGTCGACCGATGACTCTCTGGAAAAATACTAACGAATGGTCAATTGACCGGTCGACCGTACCGGTCAACCGAAAACTGATATATCCAGAAAAATCGGTTTTAGAGCTGATTTTAAAACCCTGTTTAAAAATATCAAATAAAATCAGAAAAATGTAAAACTTTGGGGAATGATTATAGACATGATAATAAACATGCTACAATGACTGGTTTCGAAAAAGGACTTCCCAAATGAAAAATATCATCATTTTACAAACTAGTCCAAAACATGAAAATATGAGATACTTGAATTTTGATGTTTTGACATAAACCAACTTTTGAAACTTTGTGAAATGTTTTTGTAGACTTAGTAAAACATGTATAAACTGATATTGAAGTCTATAAACTAAGAATACAATATTTTCACAAAATTGCATATTCTATGCAATGTTTTCAAAAACACAATAGAAAATATGAAATATATAATTTCATATATATAATCATAAAAACTCAAAACACATGTATGTATATATAACTATATATATGCATAGAAACCAAAACTTATATATATATATATGACTATATATATATATATATAGAAACCAATAAATGTGTGTGTATAAGATATTGAGCTTAACGTACTTAACACACATAATATAAATCCTAAACTACATTACCCAAGCAATCTTGATCTTCAATTAAGCTTGACTTGGTACACGTTGCGGATGAAGCTTGAACTTGATCTTTAACTTTAATTGTATAGGCTTCAACCCGACATTCCGCCAACCTCCTTTGGATATCATCGTTGAAGTGCTATTCCATCCATCCTCCAACTACGTTGTTTGTCTATAAAACATAGGAATGCACAAACACTAGACAAACAACATTAGTAATAAATTGTTTGTTAAACATCATCAAAACAAGAAGGCCAACAATCTCCCCCTTTTTGATGATGACAAACAATTTACAAAAAGAGATATATGCATGAAGGAAAACAACATCAAAAAGGGGACAAAAGAATTAAGAGAGCGAAAGCTCCCCCTACAAATAAGCATAGGTGAGTATCTAACAAGTATAGGGATTGCTCCCC